CTGTTCTGACCAATTATAAACCATTGATTGTATAATGGGAGTCTGCTCAGTGTCTTTCAGTTATTGTTGATGGTGTCCTACCAGTTTTTCCAGAAACCCATTGTCTCCACAGGCTCCATTCCCTCAGGAGTATTTTATGCCCTATTTTATATACACATTGTGTGCCAGTCTTGTACTCTGAATAAAATATTCAAGTTATTTTGTAAAAGTAATTGTTATTAAATTTGGATCTCTTACCTTGAAATAGTCTCTAGTTGTCTCATGAAAATTGTAGAGTGCAGTAACTCATAGCAAGGTTGACTTTGGTTTCACCTGCTGCAGAAGGAAACCCTACACTCTAGAAATCTAGGGAGAGGATCCATGAATATTTTGTCATCACATGCTGCACAGGATTTTCAGAGTAACTGACACTGTTAAGATAAAACTATGCCAAATAGTTTACTAGGGAAGTTTACTTGGGTTCTAGTGCTGTGAGAGTAGAAAGTTATTGTGACATTACTGGCTTGTCTGAGAGCACCTGTAGGGATGGTGTTGGGGAATATAATAGAAAAAAGGTCTCCAGGAGAAAAGTTCATGGAAAAGGTTGTTCTGATCTTTTGTTGATTGGCTAGGACACAACTGTGCTTTTATTTTTATAATTTAAATAAAAGCATTTATTAAATCAAATTATTTACCTGCTGCTGCTAAAGGGGGAACTTATTTTGCTCCATCCCTTGCATGAAATTTAGTGGGTTTTCCTCTCTGAGGAATCATTCAGGTTCATGAATAATTCTGAAACTGTACTTTCTTTTTTTTTTTTTGCCATTTAACAGTCTGAGTCAGCTTGTCAGAGGATCATATGAATACAGAATCAGAAGGAGGATATAAGACAGTAAGGATTGTCTGTCCTTGAGCCTTTCCATAGAAGAGGCCTGTGTTTTTGTGAATGCATGAGCAATTAACCTGGAAACATGTTATATGTTCATTTTGCATTATGTATGGCCATTTCATGTTTTAGCATCACATTTACTCATAAGGTAATTACCTAAGGAAATCAAACTGTATGAACACTAAAAAATTAATATATTCATAAGATGTGTTATATTGATGTAATATTGAAATAGTAGAACTAAAACTAATAGAATCAGGTATTTTAAGCCTGGTATGGTATAAAATACCATAAATACACAATGAGTCTAAAAATTGAGAAAAGAATGTTTGAGCTTTTGCTTTTGAGAGTTTTTAAGTGATTACTTGGAGACAAAAAAATCAGCAAGGAATGGTATTTTTACAGATGTTTTCTTTGTCAACTCTTTAAATTTAGTACTGATTTCAGAAGATCATTGTCTCTGATGTGATCTCTAAATATTCTGGCTGGGGTTTTGCCAGCAGGAACTTTCCTAATATTATTCCATTGAATCCAAGTAGCCAAAGTTATTCATATCACTGGTCATTTTTATATATTCAAATGAACAATCGTTTCACATTTCACAAAGAACATGACACTTTGCCACAAAGGGAGGGAGAAAGCAGGGAGAGAAAGCAGATCCTGGTTCTGTTTTGAAAAGCTGTTGGTGCTTTGGATCTCTCTCTGTACAGCTTTGTGAGGGAGAACAGAAAGTTTAATGAGGCTGAGAGCTGAGATTGTGCATAAATCTGGGAGGGGGGATAGCGGGTGGTTTGTTACTTGTTTTACATATTTGATGGGGTCAGGGGTGGAGATGTTGCTGATTTTCTGGTTTTGAGGAGTTGGGGTGGTGTTGCTGATTGGCATGTTGGGGCTTTTTCCCCTGTAACATTGTGAGCAGCAGTCTGCCTTTCTAATAATCTTTGTATCATTTTATGGGTTGTTAGAGCATTTTCTCACTCCAGTTTTGATGGCAGTGTTCTTCAGAGTACCAAGAAAGTGATGAGCAACTGTGACAAAATAACAATGTAACCAGTTAAGCCTACTTTCCATGGATTTGTGTCCTCTGACCTATCTGTATTTTCACTGCAGTATCCTTGTCCCTTACAACCACCAGGTTTTCACAAAATCTGTAGGAATGTAATTGTCTTACATGTCTTGCAATCTGTCAAATTTGGCTTAGTTCAGTCAGTGAGGTAACAGTGCTATTTTCCAGGAAAGAAGTTAAAATATTAGCTAAAAAATAGGAAGCTTTTCCAAACTTGCTGATATTTGACACAGTTTCTTGAAAGGAGCTCCTATTTCTTATCAGCAAATTCTACGGAAAAAAATTACTAAATATTTTAGAAACTGGAAGGGGATGGAAAGGGTGCAGGTTCATATTAGTTTTAAATGCATCATTGGGTTCTGTCTTTAAATATATATGTACAGTGTGAATTACATCTCTGTGAGCAAAGGGGAATCCCAAACATGTGAGAATGTTAATGTGTTCAAATAGCATTGTTTAAATTTCTAGTGGAAAAAGAATTAGAAAGTTCAGTCCCTTCTCTTTTGTTATCCTTCTGCATCTGTGACTTGTAACTTCTTTAATCACTTGTGTAAACACAAGAAAACTGGTTTCTAAAGTCTAGAAGTGTTATATTAGTGGCATAATTAACTTATCAACCTATTGTTCATGATTAAGTTGGCTTGCATAGTGGTGATATTAAGTGTTGATTTCTTTTTGATTACTGTGTAATGCACCAGGACTGTTGTAGTTCATTTTTAGGCATAGAAATTGAGATAATTTCCTCCAGATTGATGTTGCTGTCTTTATTTCTTGTGTAATGAGTGTGCATGCTATCACTGAATGGGGAACAATACCAAAATTATTCTGTTTTTTCTTTCTTAACCACTCTCTCCCTTGAACTTAAAGGGTTAAGATTTTTTTAAAAAAAGTTGTTTGTCCTAAATGTTCTTACTGAAATCCATTATGCATGAAAAGAGTCTGAGTCCATTTGCAAGACCTCTAAATGAACTCCATTCATTCTGTGCTTAGAAATGTCCATTCAGCCAGAAACAGACACAATAGTTACAACCTCATTTATTTTGCACCAGTACCAGCATATTAAAAGTGAAGGGATTGTTGTGAAGAAGTATAGTAATTTTTCTGTGCTAGTTATATAATTTTGTAATAAAATTCCTTTAGGTTTTCGATGTTGTAAAATTGCATATATATTCTTTGCCCATAAGTATAATGTAGTAGCGTTGCAGTCATCTAAAATTCTTAAAGATTCATGAGGATTTTGAAATAGCTGTTTTGAAAACCAACTTGACTTAGCTGAATGTAGCTTGACTTAGCTTATTTTGATGTAAAAGAAGTTGTAGAGACATTTATTTCTAGTTGGCTCAGAAATTAAGCCAATTAGTAATCATAATTAGTGGCTATGAAAAATAATATTTAAAGTTTTGTCTTTTAGATCAGAAACTCTGTTTATGTTTGGAAAGTAGATTATTTATGAATGTATGTCAAAATCGTGGGAATGTAGTATTATAGTTTCATCACTTTAAAATCCATGAAGTCAAGAGTTTTATTCTTGACTCTGCATTTTGTTGGCCTCAAATGTAAAGTGGAAATTGTCCTTTTGTGTTTAGCAGGATGTCATGATCTTGATGTGTATGGGTGGGAGATCAGGCTGTATTTTATCTTCGTTTAAATGACTTTGAGTGTTGAACAAGACTCACTGGCTTTCCTTCTAAGATCAGGAACGAGCACAAATGATAAGCATTTAGGAAAACCTGGTTTGCCTTCCATACAAGTCGGGCTTTTCTGAGCCCTCCTCATTGCTGCTGGTTGTTAAAAGCGTGTGAGAACGTCCTGCAGCCTCCTCTGGGCGTTGCTGCCGGCTGGGCCGGGGGCTCTGCGGAGCAGCACCTGTGGTGCTTTCAGTGGTGGCCTCCTCCTGCCAGCCTGGGGGGCCATTTGCAGGGGCACTTCCATAACGTGCAGGTAGTGTTTGGGCTGGAAAGAGAAGGGTAAGAGCAGGTACAAATTTCACTTTAAATAATTCTTTAACCTGGAGTCCTTTGTTAGTTTATTTCCATTGAGCAGTGGCTGAAGCCCTGCTGCTGTTCAGGACTGTGCGGGGCTGTGTCTCAAGTTGGTGACGGAGCCGTTTTGTGCTGCCTCTTGTTTGCAGCACGAGGGCCTTTAAGAACTAATCATCAGCTTGGAAGGAGGTGACTTTGGGAACTGACTGGAACTGGCTGAGCATTTCCTCCAACAAACTGTAGAAAATACTGTTTGTGGGAAGTGTGCGGAGTCAGGGTGAATGGGTGAGGGGCTCATGGCAGGAAAAGTAACTAACAGGAAAGGGTAAGTAGAAACATCATCCTCCTTGCTCTCAACCAGTTCTTTATCTGAAGTCCTCCTGGTGGTTGCTTTTCCTGCTGAGTCTCCTCCTTCTTCCGACCCCCTGACATGCAAAATACAGATCCAGTGAATCCCTGCACAATGACAGTAACAGGATTTTGTTACTGAAACTCCCTGCATGCCCATTCTGTAACTCTTTTGTAGGATTCCATTGTTTTGGTTACTGCTGAATGTGACATTATGTGACTGGCACCTGCACTGTGGCCCAGCCTGGGATTGTACAATGCAATAATGATTTCAAGCTCCCCAGGAGTTCAACAGAGTAAAGGTTTCAGGATATGCTTTTTGAGAAGGAGATGGTTTTGAAAGTTGTTCAGGTTTTTGGGTTTTTTTAAATATTCTAATTTGTAAATGTTATGCTTCTGTATGAAAATTAAGAAACATATACTAATTTCCCATAAAATATGTGTTTTCTCTTTGATGATTTTCAGCCTAGCACCTTGAATCACTTCTTTACATTAAATGCTGTTGATATTTGATTTTCATGGAGTTGCTTCTGATCAGCACCAACTTCTCCTATTTCATGTATTTTCCAAGCCTAAAGATCAGTCAGTTCCCATTTCTTTACTATGAGGAAATGAAAATTAAATAAGTTTTTGTGATAATATATATTAAAAAAAAAAAGGAAAAATTGAAAACAAGGATGAAATATGCCCCTCATAATTCACTGCTGACAATTCACTTCTGCTTTTGTGTGTTTAGGTACTTCCCACCAGGGTGGCTATTCCCATGCCGCAGTGGTCCATGCCCTGCAGAAATGTGGCATTCGTCACATTGACACAGCAAAGAGGTATGGCTGTGAATCCCTCCTCCAAAGGGCCATCAGAGACAGTGGTGTGAAGCGAGAGGACCTCTGGATAACCACCAAACTGTGGCACAGTGATTATGGCTATGAAAACACAAAAAAGGCCTGCTTGGAGTCATGTGAAAGACTTGGTGTTGAATATCTTGGTATGAATCTTTACATATACATCATTTGTTGTGCTTTCCGTGGGAGTATTTGCAAAGATGAATGAATTCTGAAAAAAAAATTGTGTAGTATAGATGGGTCACAGAAACCAAAGTCTGCCTTTATTTGCAGGTTTCTTGTTCTGATTGTTCTCTAGGAAGTTCACGTGTGTACAATTACGAGTACGGAGCTTTTTCTTGTTGCAAATGTTTTGCAAAGATATTTAGAATTGTTAAATTATTTGAGGAAAAACTACATCAGTTTTTTATATTTTGCTAAAATCACCCAAAACCTACAAAACAAGGATTCATAAACTTTACAGTAATATATTGGCAACAAGGTGACAAAGATGCCTGGTTTCTTCTGTGATCTGTTTTCTTTTTCTCAAGGAATGGGGGTCCTTTCTAAAAATTACCTTGTAGGCCTTTTAACTTCTTAACATTTTGAATACTGCCTTTGGTTTGGTCTGTTTGATGGAATATTTTTTGCAGAAAATGTTAGAAATGTTAAAAGAATTTAGAAAACTAAAATTAAAGCTTAACTAACACTGCATTTGTGAATTTGCCCTTATCATAAACTACTTGTCAAAGATGTGATGTTGTTACTCCCATACTAGACAGGCAGAATTGCAATAATGATGCAAATTAGTTCTTTGCAACAGGTCATAGGAGTGGAGGCACCTGTAAATAAACATGATATTTGCATATTTTAGCAATAAACAGACTTCAGTGAGGAAGTGAATTTTGGTGAATTAATAATGTATAATATTAATGGCAGCTGTGTGCTGTATTCACTGCCGTTTTTTGCCTGAGTGTTTTACAAGGTGAACTGGGAAAAACCTGTATCTGTTAAAGACCAAGATACTTAAATGCACATCTTTGGCTCCATTCATTCTGGAAATGCATCCCTTAACTTCTCCACAGGTACAGAATAATACAAAAAGAATGAAAATTCTCTTTTGTTTGTTGTGTTCAAATGCAGGTCACTGCAATGAGACATAATAAACAGAGTTTCAAGCCCTGACTTTCTCCTTTAAACTGAGAAATAACATTATTCCTGCTCTCTGTTTTCTGCTTGTTATATTTTGTTTCCTTTTTTTTTCTTCTGCTTGCTCTGGCACTGGTGCTGAATGTTGATGAGAGGAAAACTTGACTCACTTCCAAGAAGTCATTTGCAGTGATTCCTTCTAGTACTGTAAGTTGTTCTTTTTCTCTCAGGTAGTAGATTAGAGTAGGTGCTCACACAAATACTGAGTTTCTGCTAAGCAGAAAGGTCTAAAAGAAGAAGAAAATGTCTGAGAGCAAGAAATGTACTAATGCTGTCACTATGTGAGTGAATCTTTGGAATGGCATAAACAGAACTTGTTTCTCACATGTGTTCAGAGCTGAGACTTCTTGTGCACTTATTACTAAGTTTACAATTTAGGAATGTTACAGCTGCCTGCACAATAGTCTCCATTCTAGTCTCCATACATTTTTCCTCATTTTTTCTATTTTTGTTTTGGTTCTTTAATGCCTTTTGTTTGTCCTGTGCAAATGCAGGTCGCTGCAATGAGACTTTAATAAACAGAGTTTCAAGCCCTGACTTTCTCCTTTAAACTGAGAAATAACATTATTCCTGCTCTCTGTTTTCTGCTTGTTATATTTTGTTTCCTTTTTTTTTCTTCTGCTTGCTCTGGCACTGGTGCTGAATGTTGATGAGAGGAAAACTTGACTCACTTCCAAGAAGTCATTTGCAGTGATTCCTTCTAGTACTGTAAGTTGTTCTTTTTCTCTCAGGTAGTAGATTAGAGTAGGTGCTCACACAAATACTGAGTTTCTGCTAAGCAGAAAGGTCTAAAAGAAGAAGAAAATGTCTGAGAGCAAGAAATGTACTAATGCTGTCACTATGTGAGTGAATCTTTGGAATGGCATAAACAGAACTTGTTTCTCACATGTGTTCAGAGCTGAGACTTCTTGTGCACTTATTACTAAGTTTACAATTTAGGAATGTTACAGCTGCCTGCACAATAGTCTCCATTCTAGTCTCCATACATTTTTCCTCATTTTTTCTATTTTTGTTTTGGTTCTTTAATGCTCTCAGCTATCTTCCCTCCTTTTTCACCTTTCTTCCAATGATGTGGAGATGTCTCAAAAACTCATAAAGCTGTTCCTGAACCACTTAGTCTGCCATGGTGACCTAAATCAATGGTGATCAGAATAAATCAGAATTCCCTGATTTCATTCTATGGTATTAACCAAGTATGTGGGGGTTCACATGTTCTATAAAGATACATAGTTTATAAAGAAAACTGAAAGGTACTAAATAATATATATATGACGTTAGATCTTTATGTCGGAGGGAAAGTTAGTAATTCAGAAGTGCAAAAAGAAAAAGCTAGAGGAGCTCTGGCAGCTAAATGTGCAGCTAAGGTCTTTGTTCCTGTTAATTTTTTGGAGGGTCCTTAGGAGTTACCCAGTCCATCCATAAAGACTGAAATAAAAACCTGAGAAATAATCTAACAGGAGTTAATAAGTCTTTGCATTATCAGCATATGGAATGTGAGCTGTTGAAAGCAGTCATGGCTTTTTAAGAGAAAATGTGAAATACTCCGTGTAAAATACTTGTTATGAAGCCTTTTCAGTGAACACTTTTCAGACAAGTGGTACTAGGAGAGTAGCGTTCCAGGATTTTTTTTTTTTTTTTTTTGAGCTGGTAGATTATATATCCATGACATGATGGAAATTTGTATTATTTGTGGGCAGTGGTTGTAACAGATCTTCTCCTCCTTGCATTTTCTAAATGTGATCCTCAACTAGCAGTAACAGTAAACCAATATGGAATGGCGGCAAATTTTACAGGTTTGGCAGTAGCAGAATACATTCCTAGGGATTTAGATCCAACCTCTAAAGTAACTTCTTGAATGCTGATTTGTGGGTTACCGAATTCATAAACAATTTTATTTTCCTTTTGACCGTTCCGAGTTTGTCCCATTCAGTCAAATCTGGCCTGTCACAAATCCCCAGCTGGAGCTGGACAAATGCTCTATCAGCAGCTTCACTGTAATAGATGAACCACATGGAATTAGTGTATTATCATAATTCAGACTCTGTACTGCTTCAAAACACTTTGTAGGTTGTTTCACACTGATCCTTGTTCAATAGAAGGAAACACAAAGCAAAACAAAAAGGATCGAGTGAGAAAGAAAAATACATCATATCAATATTAGGTGACTGTTGAGAAAAGCAAGGAAATATGATTCCCAGCATTAAGACAGCTGGGAAACATTGCAATATATACTTCTGCTTTTAGGCTTAATAGAAGGCCTGGCCTGTTTTTCATACTACTGTTTTCATACTAGGTTGGTTTTAGTCAAATATAACATTTTTAAAAATATTGTATTCAGGATTTTGCATAGAATTGCGAACTTTTATTTCTACAAAAACATAATGTTGGCTTTTAAATGTGTAAAATGGCCCTGTACTTTTCAGTTAAGAGGAAGTGTGTTGATTGTAGGTGCTGCAACCACTAAGAAGCAATAACCATTATATTTTAAGTGTCTGTGTGAAAGCAACTCAAGTGTTAGTTTTAGTTTTCCTGTACCACTGTGCATTGACATTTAATGACCTTCAGGCCTCCGCTCACTGCTGCACCATTACAACCTGACTGTGTGCAAAGGATGTTTTAAAAAGCTGTTAAATATGATACAGATTGTGAATGTTTGGAGGTTTTCTTCCTTCTTTCTCAAGTGCGTCCTGATACTGTCAATCAAGGTGGATTTTTGATTTAATATTATTTTTAAAAAATACATTGTTGGAAGGCATCTCAAGATATTGATTAGTCTTTCCCATGCTACAAGGCATAACCTTGTGTTCTCAATGAAAATGTAGTCTGTACTTAAAAACCTCCAGAGATAAAGTTATGTATTTCTTGATTACTAGAACTTTAAGCTATTTCAATCAATGATTTAAAGGTAATTTCTTGCCTCCAAAAGGAATTTGAGAGTGTTTGTGTTCTCACAGTACGCCAGGAGGGAAAATATTTTAAGTAAAAGAAAATGTGTGTGTGGGTGTAGGGTGTGAATGTGTGTACAAATAAAGATGAAATCACAGGCCTCGGTTTGTGAGGTGCTCGTTGTTGTTATTGGCCTGCAGGTGTGCTGGAAGGTTTTCTAACAGCTGCAGTAGAAGTAAGGTCCTGGCTGTGCCCGGGTGCTTCACACATGGCTGGCAGAAGGACTAGTCTACTCTTTGTCTGTGAGATAAGGCACCTCTGCCCCACATATTTCATGAACACTTCTTGCAGTCAGGAAGATCGTGCTTGGTGATCCAGTAGATGCTTTCTAGCTCTAAATGCAAATATTTTGGAATTTGTAGTAATTTTTATTTCAATGAAAAAGCCTAAATTGAAGGAAACATAATGGGATTATATGGCCATGGTGTATCTGGTAACAAAACCTTTCTAAAATAAAGGACCAACAGCTAATCTTGTTTGCATCAGAGGCCTCAGACACTACTACAGAGAAGGGGGATGTGTTGCATTTTTTTGGATGTCCAAGGCCAGAGATCTTTCAGTTATCATATCTCTTAAAAGTCTTTTTTTGGAGAATGTTTCAGTTTCCTGAGCAGTACAATGCATCTGTGTCTGTGGAAATCCATGATGTAACTGTTTCTGTGAGCATTTCCAAACTGTGGTGTCTAACTGAACAGTCAGGCTTTTGGAGAAGTGACTGGTGGTGAAATTCTGCTGAAGTTTGATTATTTTTGCTAAATGACTTTTTTTTGCATAGTTAAGCAGTTCTTATTGGTCTGGTTTGGAGAACATAGCAAGGAGCAATTAAAAATATGTTATTCTTCCATTTTCCTGGGAGATAGGCATCAGATCCCAGTAACTTACACCTACTTACATATGACACTTGCTTTATATAAGAAAAAAAGTTTAAATACAAACATGTCAGTCTCTGTGCAGCAAGTAGCCCCAGTAGCATATATAATTTTGGATCAAAATGAACACTTGATATTAGCAATTCCTAATGCTAATCCTTTGGGTTTATGTCTAATACAAATAATTGGAAATTTTATTGGCAACAGAATGTGAGTAGTCCTGAGTTTTGCATGTAACCTAACCAAATGCTTTAATCAATATCCCAATACAAGTTTTCAGTTAATAGTCACAGAATTGATATTTATTCCAATACCATGTATTGGTATTTACTTTTAAGAAATACAACTTCTTTTTTCAAAGAAATTAGTAGAGAAGTAATTATTGATAGATTTGTGATCAATAAGACTGCATGTGGATTTGCAAGTGGATTTTATGGATAAAAGGGCAAAGAGCAAGCAACTTTCTCCTTAAATGTGATACAAAACCAGATGCTGCATATGATTATATATGAGTTATTATTGGCTTGTCTGAGCTATTGTATTTAAAAAGTCTAAGAGTTTAAAATTGTATTTAAATGGAATATTGATACCAGGAAGTGCAAATGTAGCTTGTGGATTTTGCGACACATCCAAAAGAATGTTTTCCTTGCTACATCTCTAATGTATTTTACTGTACATAATTCTGTCCTGTTCTGATTAGATTTTTAAGGTAAGTAAAGCATTTGCTTGTTGCAATGATGTACCAAAATTGGAGCTGGTGTATTATAAGGAGTTTCATGGTACATTTTCATCTTAAATCAAGGTTGAATTTGTATTTTTAGAGGGGGAAAGCTAATATACCACCCCACTGACACAGTAATTGTTATTGTAGTCCTTAAATTGTGATAAAAGGGTTTTTATTTTATTTTTCCCCCTTTTATCACGATTCCCAAAACAGAGGATCTGTACTTTCACCAAAAGTGCTGTAAATGAACGGATTGATGTATCCAAAGAACAAAACACTCTTCTAATTGAAAACAAGTCAGAGTTTTTTATTTCTTAACTCTATTTGAACTGCCAGAAATGGAATATTACAAAGCACAAAGAAAATGGTACACATCTCAGTCATCTATTTATTTTCTTTTCCTGTTTTTCATCAGACTAATATATGCAGCAAAGGCCAAAACCTGTTTGACTGGGATACCTGCAGTTACCTGTTTAATCTGCAGTTGGAATTTGAATAGAAATGCAATTGTTTTCCAAGTATCTCTACATTTCTCCTTCAGAATGTCTAGCAGTGTCTACAAACTTGTAAAGGAGTTACAGCTCTGTGATTTTTTAAATTTAAATCTGATTTGGAACTGAGTCCGGTACATGTACATTTCTCAATGTATGTTGGAAGTGCTTCCTTTTCAATTGAAGCACAGTCTTGTCTTGCAGGAAGACAGCACACAAAGAGCCTCCTCACGAGGGGCAGTGGAGGGACAGCTCTGGTCCCTTCTCTCTGGTGACTGGTGACCCAAGAGATGGCATGGAGCAGTGTCAGGGAAGGTTTAGGTTGGATGTTAGGAAAAGGTTCTATGATTCTATGAAAATTTCATCAGCAGTAAATCTTAATTGTGTTTGAAATTGTGCTAATATTCCAAAAAAAAGTAATAAAGCATAATTTTGTTCCCTTAAAGTATTATTTTTTAAATTTTCTTTTAAAAAAATCACAAAGGCTGACATGAAACATAGACAAGAAAATTTAGACAAAAAATCTGCATAAAGAATGTGCTGTAGTTTCCAACAGAAATTCATAAGTGGAAGTATTCTTTTGAAAGGAAAAAGACAGGCCCACTGCTGAGGTTGTATAAAATATCTGCAGAACTGTCAAATATATTTATCTTCTGTGAAATGGAAGACTTGCAGCACTTAGTAAGTAGTAGTCCACTCATAATTCCAGTGACCAAAATCCTTTTGATTTAAATAGGGCTTGTTATGTGTGGAAAGTTTATTAAGTGCGTATGTGACCATGAAATTCTGATTACAGTGACCCAAGCATGTGGAACATGTGCAAGTTCTGCTACCCTTAGCTGTTAATGTGATGTTATAGAATTCATTTATTACAACTAACTGGATACATCCACTAATGGTCACTGAGTAGTGATTGGAACTATTATCATGATAATGTGTTAGGGGCCACTGGGGGGAAAATGCTGTCTCATGTGGTTTGATTATTTATTTTTGGACACTTTAATAAGCAGTCTGGTTCTGTTTCTTTTTTAGATCTTTATTTGATTCACTGGCCTGATGCACAAGTTCCAGGTAAAAGTAATCAAGAGGTCCGAGCTGAAACCTGGAGAGCGATGGAAGAGCTCTATGAGAAAGGTAATCTAATAATAAAGCCTACCTTAGAAAAAGGGATTACAGTGTGCTTTGGGATTGGGAAACTCATAGTGAGAGATGTTCAAAAACTTAAGTTGAGCATACTACATGCTCATATTTCGGTGGAATTTGGGTGTGCAAGTTTCAAAAATGTCTTTGAGAATTGCAATTTGCAATTAGCAATTTGGTCCTGCTTGTACATAATATGTTGTCAGATTGTGTCCATGAGATTAATAATGGTGTGCTTACTTTTTTGAGGAAACCTACTGCTTCATTGAAATCTCTATGCCACCACAGAACACCATTGAACACTACAGAATGTCTTTGTAGTAACCTCCTTTTTAAGTATAAATCATGCCAAGTTTTGTCTCCTTTAGTTTTTTTTAATATATAACTGTATGATGCCATTTTCCAGTTTATCTGATGTTGTAGTATTTTATAACTGCATTTGTGTTTTGAAAGTTAACAAAATAAAGTGTCTAGATGAGGAACAAATACTCAACTGCAGATTCTTTGGTACTTACTTTTGGAAAGAATTTTCAAAGAATGGAGCTACTCAGGTTTGGATAATTCACTTTGATATTCAGTGCACAGCAAACTTCAGTTTATGATCATAGCTATAGGAAGACTAGGCTGTAGATTTAAGAGGAGAATTTTGCTCCTGAAGTATGCAGAATTATTAGAAATTATGTGAGAGAAGATCCTGTCATGCCATTCTTGGGCCATGTGGACCACACTGTGTACAGCTTCAGAGAAGTTCCACAGGAGGGGAGAAGACTTCTTGGGTAACGTAATCCATCCACTGACCCAGAGCTACTGAACCAGTGATTGCAGCAGGGGAGTTGTACAAAGGCAGTTACAGGCTGTCTGTCACTACCAGCTTTACTAGAGCCTCTTACACTTCAATTCTTCTTTCACTTTTGCTGGCCCTCTGCAAACACAGAAGTAAATGATCTTTGATATCTCTTTTGTTCTTTTTGTATTAGAGCATAAGGGAAGTTGCTAAAATTATTTTCTGCCATGTAAGACATTACAATATTCAGTTTTTAAAGAAGTGCTTCACTGACATAGTATTTCAAAACATGAATAACACTTACATCCAAAGATGGATCATTCCACAATGCATTTCACCTTTTCCACTGTGAAGGTTTTTTCTGATGAGTATTTAAGTTACTGCATGCCATTTGTGCCTAGATATGCCATCCTAATTTGCTGCAAACAGGTTGTATTTTCCACATTCTATTATTATTCCTATCCTATGGGATTTATTCTGCTTTTACATGCATCTTTATGATCTCTTCTGTCTTAGAGGATCTTTCTTTGTCTGTATCTTCCTAATGGAAAAGACTATGAGCAATTCAGTGATCTTTTAATAAAAGTCACTGTTGTGACGAACTCTGTGTGTGGAGACACAAGGCTTGACTCCATTTCAGAAGGCTGATTTATTATGTTAAATATTATACTAAAATATTACATTAAAACTATACTAAAAGAACAGAGAACAGAGAGATCAGAAGGTTACAAAGAACAAGAATAGAATAGAATGCATAACAAAATCTTGTGACTGCTCACAGCCTTGGTACAGGTGGCTGCGATTGGTCATCAATGGAAAACAATCCACATGGACCAATGGAAGATGCACCTGTTGCATTCCACAGCAGCAGATAGTTATTGTTTACATTTCTCTCCTGAGGCCCTTGGCTCCTCAGGAGGGGAAAAATCCTAGGAAAGGATTTTTTATAAAATATCATAGCTACAAGTCACTGGAAATACTATTGCTCATTTCACAAACAGAGGGGAAAATTGCTTTTTGTCTTTGTCCCTATGCATGATACCTCTTCAAAGACAGCTCATACTAGATTTTTTTTTCCCTGTGGTTGCATTTCTTCAATTTTTTTTCAATTTCTATGTTGCTACTTTAAGTCTTTTTCTGAATTTAAGCATTGTAGACTCATGAATCATTTAGCTGAGGAAAATTTTCCAGCTCTGGTTGTTGAAATTACCTAAATTACCTCAGATCATTTACAGGGGAAGGAAAATTTAATGGCCTGGTTGAGTCAAGTGCCTTAGAACCTCAACTTCCACACTTTTGCTTTAGGGGATACAGACTCTGGATCTCCTGACCATAACTATGTGTTCCTGAAATGACACACAGATGTTAACCACTCTGGAGTTGGAAATGCAATGATTCCAGAGCAAAATGTTAAATAATTTGTTTGCATGGTTAACCACTAGATTTTCCACTGAAGATTAAACACTTGCTGCATATCTTTGTGACTTGGTATGTGTTACGTGAGCAACATGGTTTAAATTGAATGTAGGATTTGGTCAAAATCCTAACTGGTGGAAAAGAATAAAATCTTCATTGATTAGGGGAAGAATTTAAAAGTTCTATGAACAAGGGAGTTCTTTGTCTTCTCTGAACTTGACATTAGTCCAGGTAGTCATTGGTTTGTGTTTGGAGTTTTGCTACTTTTTTTTTAAATGTTTATTCTGGAAAAAAAACTATAAACAAAATGCTTCACATTCAAAGGTTGACATTTTAAACAAATAATTTACTTCTGCAGTCAATTCACAAAGGTAATACTAAAATTGTTCAATTTGGTAGTGGGTTTAGTAGCTAGCTGTGTCCATCCCGAAGAGCATCTGAAAGTGGAGAGGCAATATAACTGTCCTCTGTGAAAAACAAATTGGTGTTGTGGAACTGTCTGCAGGAGTCATGCAAGATGGTTAAAAGTTGTCAGTATTGGCCTAAGTCTTTGATCTAGCAGAAGTTACCAAGAATTTCTTTAATAATTTCTCTGTATTCACAGATAGTTTGAATGCAGGTATTTGTAAATCTCATTCTTCAATTTAAATTCAGGTTAGTATTTATTCTGCAAAATTTCACCTACCTGGGACAGGAAACAGTATTTTAAAGTAATGTAAATTATTAATTATGTATTATTATTATCAATTACACTAGAAGGAGAGTAAATAAACTATTAGCACTCCAGACTGAAAAAGTCTGTAGTGGAGATTTTTTTTTAATACTATATTAACTTTTAGATCGGTCACATTGGTCAAAAGTTGACACAAGCAAAATACCAACTCTATCTATATTCATAGCTCTGAGAGATTTTTTTTAAGTTATGTCTACAAAGATTCATTCAGGTTCATCTGAGAGCCCACACAGAGCTGCTGGGACACAGGGCTGCTGTAACACGACTTGCAAGGCTCTGGCCTCAAGTGTCTTCCCACCCAGCTACCTGAGGAGAGACAGAGCTTCTGGGTCTGTGCCCAGTCTAGGTCAGTGTGCACTAATTTAAAAGACCATGTCCTCAGATAATATAAACTTTGTGTAACAAATTTTAAAAAAATTTGAATATTTGTCAGAATTATTAAAATAAATATTTTAGGAAGCAGAAGTCTTTCATAAAGAATTAAACAAAACTTTATACTATACTGAGTCTGATTTTCATAAACTCCCAAGTACCTCTGGCTGTAGAGGATTTATTGTTGCAGGTTTATTGCTATTTGAAGGCTGCAGGTGCCAGTGAACTTGGTGTGGAATTGGTAGATGTGCTTTCACTGAGATGTGTGGGCATCCTTGTTTACTGTTTCTTAATCTGTAGCTGCTTAGTAATGCTTCTTTTATGTACTGCTAATGCAGGTTTGGAGTTGAGCTGTAACATCAGAATATCATCATAAATAGAAAGTAGTACTTTCAAGTGATGAGAGAGATCCTTTGCTATCACCCTCTCTGGTTTACCACTGTTTTTGTATTTCGTCAAAGGGGATTTGAGGTTAGCATTTTGTGAAAGACTCTTTTGTCCTGATATGATGTGAACTGGAATTATGAACGATTTAAAATGAGAATCTGAGTCGTGTTTGTTTGGGATCTGGTTACCCTCTCCAGTTGACTGTTCACCATACTGAAGTTTTGGACTACACTGCTTGGATCCAACGTGCTTTGGGAGCTGAAGGGAATGTGGTTACTGCCCCAAGGCTGGAGACTCAGGAGCACTTGAAAGAAGGTTTCATGTTTTAGCACTCTTCCCTGTGCTTGGATCCACTGTTCAACTGCCTCAGGTGACTGAGCAGCTATCTCAAGATCACACTTCAGGTTAAAAACAATTTCCCAGAATCCTGAGGGGTACCACGAGAGATATGAGACCATGCCCAAAAATACTCCTAGGGATTCTAAAGCCATTGTTGTCTTTTACTGTAACAGTATGACATACTACATTAATTATCTGTGTTAAAATAACACACCCTGGAAGTTATACCTTCTTCAGGTGTTTTAATCCCTCTGAATTGCATCAGGAACATGGTCCTGTGTCTTTCTTGTTTGCCCTTGAGCTAGAGAGTCTTTGGCTAAATATGCTTATCTTTTTCTCCTGGCTAAATCCTTCAGTAAATTTTTAGAGCCCATTGAATGTTCAACTTGCATCTTTCCCTCTTTAACCTGAAATTTGTATATTCACACCCTCCATCTTCTCTTGCTACAAAGGCAAGATTATACTTTTAGTTTGTTTTTGTAGTATTCCTATTGTACAGACAGAGCCAAGTCATTAAAGTTGCTGGTTTTCATTAATATCTTTCCAGGGAAAAATGTGATAGAGTCCTGGTCAGCAAAGGTAGGTAGATATTTATGGTGATATCCAAGGCAGTTGTATCATTCCATACTGTGAATCAGACAGATTTTATCTACATTTCCCCAAATCATACAGAAAGTGTTAGAATGCTTCCTTCTCATAGTGGTGAATTACAACACTGCTTTATTCATGAGACCTTCATGTGCTGATGAAGGAAGAATTCAGTTCAGAGATTTCTGTTTTCTCTTGCAGTCTGTGTCTTCCATGTCTTCAGACCTGGGATTTGCATGCACTTAGGCTTGACCTTGCTTCCAGAGGGAATTGTGCCAACTCTTACAGTAGCTTTGTAGCTTGGGGATCAGAATTCTGCACCTGGTCTTGGTATTCATCCCCAGTGATCAGAAATTTTTTTTAATGAACAACCTC